GGCTGGGTATGATGGAAAAGAGCGTAAAAGAGATTGATTTTCATTGTGAATCATCTCCTTACATTTGTTAACAGTTGTCAACAATGCTGCGAAGGCTTTTTTATCTCCGCAATCAACGATGATACGTCGGCATCTTTTTCGTTTAGCTTAGTTTGCAATACACGAACTTCTACATGAAAATCATCACTTATCTTTATTAGATGCATTTTGTCTTCATGCAAAGCACCTAGCAAACACAAGATACGAGCATTTTCTGCCCTGAGAGCAGAAAGTTCTTTAACCGCAGTTATCAGTGTAGATTTGAATTGAAAGTCATGCTCAGTAGAGATTTCACTTGAGAGAGTCTGTATTAAGAGCTTCTTTAGCACTAGTGCTCCCACCCGAACCAGCGGGTGTGGAAGAGCAGCGGAGAGATGAACGACGGTCATCCGTACAGTTTTTGCAAAGAAACGGCTTATTAGATGAGACTAAGAAGTCCAGACCGGCTTGGAAAATACCAACACATTTGAGGTGAAAAAGTTTTTACACCCGGCACACTGCACTTTAGATTGTGTACGATCAACTTTTTGACCACAAAGACAAGGCATTGTATGAATATTTTTACATTTAATAAATATTGAGTCAGTGAAATTCACATTATTAAGAGTCACTATCTCAGTATATTATGAGTTTTGCACTAACTAAGCGAATCAAAAATTACAAAGAACGCTTAAAAAGCCAGATAAACGCGGAGCGAAGAAAAACACGTCTGAACTGCAGTAGCGAAAACTATTTCTTACTTATAGAAGTTTTTCTTATCGTCATTAAGGTGTTTGGTTACCAACCGGTAATTTTCTTCAGTTAGAATCTGAAGTTTGGTCTCTTTAATGTTGCCCTTGGTAATTGACGTTACGTGGAACGTATTGTCTGCAATAAGCTGAATTAATTTATTCACGAGGTCATTACAGCTTTGCTCTCGTAATTAAATTAGGGGCGGTTTGAGTTTGGCTTTGGAAACTTCATTCGGCTCTTTGTCACATTCATTGTCCAGAATCGCGCAAACTTATTTCCCAGTAGAGGGTTAATATCAGTGGTTTTCGTTTTTGCAATTTTTGACGGATTTGCATATTTTTGCTGTTGTGGGCTTAATGTTCGTTTGACTTGGATACCCATTTGAGTCAATGTACGGGTTGTTGGATTAAGTAGGTCAACTTGCGCTGCGCTGCGTTGCTTGGCTTGGACTGGTTTGTGCAGGTGTGGGTGAACTGCGTTGTGAAACCGCTGTAATTGCTGAAGGCGTGGTTGACGTCGTTGTTTTGAGAGCTGCGCTCACCGTTGTGACATTGGCGACTGTGCATGCCAAGATGTAATGCACGATTTTGGGGGAGGGGCAGAACGATTAATCGCGATCAGCATTGTTTGTTGGGTAAACAAACGAAAAGTACGCGTTTCGTCGATCAGCTGAATGCTTTCGGTCAGCTTCTGTTACGGCAAGATTTATTTCACCGCACTTGGTACTTATTTCACTATTCGGTAAGCGCGGTGGGCCGGAGCTGCTTTTATTTTATTGTATGTTGGCACATTTATATGAATTTCTCGCGGCATTGCGAAAATTCGGAAAAAGTAGTTTATAATTATAACCAAATAAGCAGATAGATTATTTATGCCTAGTGTTTTCGCGTTGGTTTTGTTCTTTTTTTTCTTTGCTTTACGTGAATTATTAATTTCTCGGCGGAGCGATTAAAAAACACATTCGAACAGGTTGACAGTCAATCAATATTTTAATGCGAGCTCTATATATGCGTCCCCGCTTAGTTACCCAACTCGACTAAGTAGCTAAATTTTTCGTATCCCATTTACAATTTTGCTTATAATTTTCCCCTTTTAAGTGCTCCCGCAACACGTTCGGCAAAAAATTTTTAAAAATTGAACGGTCACTTTAAATTTGCACATTATTACACTAAAATTAAATAAACACTTCTGAGAAAACCGTTTGAAATTTTGAGGAATTTTCATTTCAGTGTTCTACAAATTTTGAAGCTCAGGTTTAAGGCTGTTGGCAGCACTTAAGAAGTAGTTTTCATTTTTTCTATTGGTTGAAAATGTACTTTGGTTTTACCTACTTCCTAAAATGACGCACAAGAAATGGAAAAGAAAAAAATGCTCGTATATTTGTTTCTTCAAGAAAATTTACAGCAAAGGCAAAGTGCTTCTTAAAGCAACAGAAATAATGAAAATTATTTCTTATGATTTTTCTTAAGAGCTGAGCTTTATATAGTATTTGGTAGGGAATGAACTCTGTTTTAATTGAAATATCTTAAAAATTAATAAATTAACATAAGTGGCAAACATCATTTTGAATTTGGTCCGATAGGATAGATATGGCCAACACTGTATGTATAAATATGTATAATGTCCTTAAACAATTGACATAACATTGCTTTATTGATTTTTTTATAAAGTTTTTGTTATTTTTATGTCCTTATAACAATTATATTCAACAATTTTTATGAGCTCGAGGCCGTTTTTAATGAAAACTTATTGCGGAAAAACAACAATAATTTGAAAAAAAAAGGTAGAAGTGATAGCTATTTCGGAAATCACCACATTTCCTCATCCGACTTCTTTCATTAGGATTCGAACCGACGATTACCACTGACTAATCTTGCCTTGTTAATTCTTGTCGCTTATTTCCACCATTTAACTTTGCCAACTACAATCAAGCGCAGCTATTCCGCTGCAATTCACTTGATCATGTGGTTGTTGGTTTTGTTGATTTTTGATAATATTTCTATTATTAGAATGTTTAACTTTTAGGTGTGCTCGTCCTTAAGTTATTTATTTTTGTTATTTTTATGGCCTTAT